TCTAATTACTTGTTTATTCCAGACTCGCGTTGAGTAACTGTTGGCTATGTTATGGCGGTGGGATGAATTGAGTCTAGCTCTCGGTAAAAGTGGTCAAATCCAGATTCACCCAGGGCACAGCGATATACTTCCCTTGTTTATGTGGGCAGCTGAGGAAGATCCCGGCCGGAGTGGTGGAGATTCGGCAGAGCGCAAACTGCTATATTTAACTTGTGTATGATATACGTAGCTCTACAATGAACTTGATTATGACCTTAACCCCGTTGGTTTTAATAACCGTTTTCTGGAGCGTTTTAAACCAACTTAAGCTTTGACTTGATATTTCCCTCAAGTATCTTGTATACAATTTACCAGAATAATTTAGGTTTACTTAAGATCGAAGGAACTACTCAACTTTCAGACTGTACTGCGCACATCATTCTCATACCTAAACCCCCTAATTAATTCATATTGCGCTATATAACCTTCAAATCCACCGTGCTTGTAGAATCTCAAACGGGAAACATTGTTAGTAGGTAACTCGCCTACTCAATGTTAATAGACCATGTGTTGTATTATACCCAGGTATAGTTATATGAAGCTAATTATATGTAATCATAGCATTAAAGAAAGTTCCGGGTATCCATATGATGATTGGCGAAGTCCAGTTGAGTCGGGTTAGTGTAGTGTAGGACTAAGTGTAGATCATCGTTTGAAGGTCATACTATTTACGTCTGAACGTGTAGCGAACATAACTTCCAGAGATATCATGTGAGAACAATGATCTGGATAAAGGTATCAGAACTGAAGTGTTGGAAGTGATCTAGAAACTATGCTTCAAAAAGAATATCTTGCATACCCACGCCATGAAAATACGGTGCTAGGCTTTGTTTGGGTTGCCGCCTCGGGTGTACCGCGTTAATATTATAACCCAGGAACTAGCACACCAGACCCTTACCTAGTGTGTAATTTAGGATTAAGTATGTATTTATAAAGCATGGTCACAATAGATAGGAAAATGGAAATGTGGGAACCATAGGAATCCAAAGTGAAGATTGGAAACTAGGCCTAAACAGAGAGGAGGGACTTCACCCTCAGTGATGCCTCGACTTTTCCCAACACAGGTCAGTGTCCTTTATCATGCTTTATTCAACCCTAAAAAGGACTTGTCTAACAGTTTTTACATCTTGAAACTTTGCCTGATGTCGTAAAGTGAAGTCATAGTGTACTAATGTGTGGTGACGAAAGCCCCCCCCCCGGCAGCATTCTCAGTGATGCCTCGATTTCTCCCAACCCAGGACGACGCTTTCTGAGTGCCTACCGGGCGTCACCCATGACCACAGGCCACACCACAGTGGTCATGCACTGTGGATCCCCAGCACACCACCCGAAATGAGTAGAACAAATAAGGAAACGCTTGAGAAACTCCGCGGTTGTCACTTGGAGCGACCTATAATACCAGGCGTAGAAATAGTACTGTTATGTCTCTTGGTGTAGCCCTCGTCTCTACCCACCGAGGGCGGTGTGTGAACGAGGTGCCTGTTAGGTATACCTAGAAATTACAAGGAGTCCCATACCTGCAGGTGTGGAGGGTAACGGGTGTGTTGAGAGGGTGCTATATTCCATACAGGTGGAGCAGTCTGAGGGGTAGTGTAAGAAGGAATGACCGAGGTAAGGTGGTCACATTGGTATGTGGATGACACGCCATTAATGTAAGACGTCTGGTGCCCATCTGGGTAACCAACATTTTCGTTGTTCTTCTGAGGAAGACCAATTCATTTGTATGTTTTTTACCAGTATGCTTTATAAGGAATAAATTAAGACCTGTTATGGTTTCACCCTTCTTAACCCAAATCGATCTGGTCAATGTAAAACCTAACCCAAAGCCTAGTCCACGCTACCTAACGAGCTACATGCTGTCCAGAGGGAGTCTGGTGGCAGCGACCCTTAGAAATTAAGATTAGAGTTAAGTATTCCCCCTTAGCATTAGTGACCCCCAGTCTGGCAGTATAAGACGCCTCTCGACCATCTACCACAATACATTTACTTGGTAGCTTTGTCAAGCAATGTGTGAACTCTGAAACTTTCATCCATCTGAAGCTTCTCACCTGACTCAATGTACAAGTGGAATCTCGAGCCTTGAGCAAAGCAGTTTTTTAAACTGATCATTGGTTCTCGGCCAACGAAGTACAGTAAAACTGAACTTCGTAAGACTTACCGGTGAGGATAGTGGGGCATGTATCCTTACTGCACCAGGTGTCCATAACCACTTTATCAAACCTGCACGCTATAATGGACTGTGCCTCTTAACATTTTACTTTAATACTTAACCCTTGGTAGGGTGACGAGAGGCTCATGGGTATAAGTAATGATGGTATCAAGAAATAACGGTAGATACAGTAAGGAAGTAAGACACAATATGCAAATACAATATTTATTTAGACAATAAAATGGAGGTAGGAGAAATAATATAAGTACCAGCAGACGAAACCTGGTACTATGTCCTCAGGCTCAAAATACTCTCACCACTACTGGGTGGACATACTCGATAACACACACTTATAGTAACTTGGCACCATTAAAACAGGGGGCTAATGCCACTACAACACTCTCGTCAAGAGTGATACTCGAACAACCGCCATGGGGTACTTTCCAACGAACTCTGAAGATCCCAGTGGAATAACACCACCACACAAATAGTCCCAATGAGCTAGACACTCGTCCACCAATGATGGGGGCTGATAGTTGTGTGTGGCTTGATGATCCGGGGTCACCTCACGGGCCGAGCGTTAGGGTCAAACGGCCAGCTATGGGGCCCATAGGTAGTACTGAAGTTTCTGACGGTCGGGTCTCACGAAGATAACTGGACCTCGGACATCTCGCCAGACTAGTGGATACAACATCCACGCTACCGACACGGCCTAGGCTGCGTTTGTGACCTGTGTGGGTGAAGGGCCGAGCACTTACTGTGACAACATCACGTTTCAGGGGACGTTAAAGACGTAAACATTACTTCAATCAAAGCATATCAACTACGTTACTGTAACACTTGCACAATCAACTATTAATTACCTAAAGAAGGGCTACTCACAACACAGTGGAATGATCTACCTGTGTGGGTGAAGGGCCGAGCACTTTCTAACGGTTGAAATACCCGCGGCACCCTCCCTCGAACTAGGTCAGGGATTCCACCTACTTCTATTTCGATGAATTACTTTACTGTACACTCTGACGTTGAAACTGCGACTACAAACTCGGTTTCATTCCCTACTATTTTATTTATTTATTTATTGGGCACTCCCCCTACATCCTTGAGTACGGTGAAGCACAGAAGCATTTACAGCGCCCAACAGGGAAGCGTGCTAAGTTCATGCTTGCCTTTATGTCTCACGAGGTAAGGGCGTAGAAGCCTGAAGAGTCAGTGGTTTATGTCATCAAGTTATTGGAAGCTCCAACAACTTGTCCCTGAATACGAATTCGCAAATTTCGACTTACAACAGGTACCTACTTTACTGCTCGGTGAACAGGGACTAATGGGGGCTAGGAAGTATGTCCAAACAACTTCCACCGGCTCGGGAATCGAACCCGTGACATCTCGCTTGCGAGGCAAGAACGGTACCGCTTCTACCACCGATCCCCCTATTCCCTACTATTATCTTCACAAACCATGCTCTGACTGAGCTATCAAAAGCAAGAATTAAATTGATTACAAAGGGTTGGATGGCAACAGTTCCCAACATACAGCGTCTTGCTATGAAACCTGCGGATTAGATTCAAAGTTCCCTTCAGACAGAGACGACCTCTCGATGACGTCAACAAGGAAACGGAGGACGTTTCCACTGGGGGACTCAAAAGGTTTGGTTGACGTTTAAGCGTAATATGAATCCTGAGGGTTTTCAAGTTAGCCGCCATTACGATCATGACAACGCGAGTCCACCTGGTCCCGTAATTCGTCGAAAGCTGGCAGCTTAGGTGGCCGAATACTGTTGAATACATGGTAGATGGTGTGGTCATGATACAACCGACTCTATACTTGTAAATGTTACATCAATTCTACTTGTCATTGAATCCCCTGTGCTTTCTCATCTGTACTTCCCTTTTGAGGGCTTGTTAGTTTCCTTTGCTAAACTATCAAATTCGACAGTCGTCTTTAATTCCATGTTTCCCTTCCTCATTCATAATCGATGGAAATGAAAAGGTGGTAGTTCACTACAAAACTAGTACTACATGTTCACTATAACACTAGTAATAGAAGTTCACTACAACACTAGTACTACATGTTCACTACAACACTAGTATTCATGTTCACTACAACACTAGTCCTTTATGGTCACTACAACACTAGTCCTTTATGGTCACTACAACACTAGTCCTTTATGGTCACT